CTAACGCCTAATTGCACATCCCGCTGTTGACCACGTCCTGCAACTTGGTTTGTGTCAGAATGACCATCTTACTTGAGTGCCTTATTGAGTTAACATAAACAAAGCTAATATTATACTTCTGATAGACTATAGTAAACATTCTTTGGCAAACCACACATAATAAATATTATTCATAATCATAACTTCATCGCAGATTCAGCCCGATCTACAAGCACCGACATCACTCTTTGAAATAGATATAGCAAATTCGTAATATTTGAATTTCAGAATGCATCCAATCGACACACTAATTAACATCCCCTTTGAACATTTATCAAGATACTGATCATTAGCTTGGAGAAACACATTTCATAAAAATAGCGTGGGTTTTCTTTGTAACTGAAACGAAATTGACATTATATTTCGTTAATATCTGTTTCTTGGGTATCAGGAAACAAGGTTATACGACATGTTAGTATTATCAGGCCTGGCTCACTCCGCGCGGTACATCCGATAATTACCTACAGCGAAGCGCCCCGCCGGCGGGTATTATATCAGTCGAGTGTCACGCGCGCGCTCGTCAGGACGTTGGCGTGCGTTGTAGTATGATTATAATTATATGATCGAAGTATTATTTAAAAATGGACATAAAGAGAAAGAAATATTGTGCGGCGTTCGGGTGTTAAAATTCGAAAAGAAATCTACCGGATTTATCTTTTTTTTTCGCTTCCCAAAGATGCTGAAAGGTATGTTGGCCATGTAGGTAATCAATAATTCTTAGGATAGTATAGGAACCTAACCTACCATGACTACTGCTCAGAATTCGTTCGTTCGTTTCAGCTAAATGACGTCCACTGCTGGACAAAGGCCTCTCCCAAGGTTTTCCATAATGAATGCATACTTACCTACATACGTACCTCATTACAAATAAGTACCTAGATTAATTATTTTTTCACTAGACAGCAACCCTAACAGCGTAAGAAGAGTTCAGAGGCACGCGATAGAAAGAGACAAAACTTGTAGGTGAATAAAATTGTAGGTACGTAGTGCTGTGCGAGCTGAATTCCACTGTATCGCGTCGTAGCAAGACTCGCATTTATTTAAATCGTCTTGCGGAGTAATCCTTCTGTACCTGTACTATTACTTATTCTGTGGTATTATGTACTATTTATTGGACAAACATTTGGTGGTTTAATTATCTTTTGACAACAAACCGAGCAGTCGTAACATCTTAGTTATAGAGAATAAATAATGAAAAGGTTATAGAAAACTCTGCTCATTATGATAACAAGCACCAGCAAGTAAAACTAATTAACCAACTGTACCTAATAATATAGCACTAATTAATTTCAGCAACTAAACGATGCAATTGCAATACTATCGATGGTTGTACTGTTTCAACACGGCTCGTATCGCGTGCCGGTCGAACAGACCTAACATTACCAGTTCTAGCCGGTCTCATCTCTGTATCTCTATCGAGTATCGACGATGGAATTAGTTCACCCGCTTGCCTTTGAATTATTTCTTCCCCTTGTTTCTTTTCTTGCTCATCCCTAATATCAATAATGGGTTAACTTCAGGGTAGAAATATAAAGTTCTTCCTTCGAACCCGCTTCATAATTTAATACGAAAAGCTGTGATTATATCCTTGACCGAGATTTTTCCTCGGTGTTGGTTGAAGCTTGAAGCTACCTTCCACAAACACGAGCATTTTTGTTACGTGCCATCTGTCGGTCTCACCCCCGTTTAACGCCATCGGTTTAGCAAACAGGGCTTTATTGTTACGGCGCGTGATTAGAGAGGTGTCTGTGTGAGACTGTGGTAATAATAAGTAGCCGGTGCCTACCCAACCCCTGATTACCGCGCCACCCCCTCCCGCCGACCGCACCACTCACATTTAACTCTCGATAGGTACTCCTTTCAAAATTCTTAAAAACAGCCATTACCAAAACTTCCTTGAGTTCGATTTAAATCTCATACGATTCAATTACTTAATTGATTATGTTTGTAGCATTCGAATAGTCACAAGATTGTTAGCGCGTGACGCGACGCGAGGCCAAGCGACTTCGCCCCGCAGGGGTCGCGCTTTTGTCAGTCCGCGGGGACGCCGCCGATCCCTTGCGTTTACCTACTCGTCGACAACGCCCCTCTTTGACTTAACGACAATCCCGACAAAAAACAACACCGAAAGCGATCACTTCAACGGCTGGCTTTGATTGTTTTAAAATTGTCTACTAATAAACTTGATCAAACATTCGCGCTCACTATCCAACTACATACTGTTGAGTCAGATCAATGCGACGTCTATTTATAAATCATCAATGCCTAGGAACGACTAGGAAAACTATTTGTAGTTGAATCCTAAATAAAACTATGACAAAGCTAGGTTCATCAGCAATTGTAATTTTAGGCTTTTGTCTTCTAGCACTTTTACTTTAAAATAATATAAAATGGCGGACACGTCTTTACGATCGGCGTAATAACGCGTGCCGTAATGGCGGCCGGTACACGGACGCATAAAAATCATAAGATGACGTGTGCACGTTTCTCGCGCACCTGCCTCCCCCCGCCCGGCGCGGGCGCACCCGGGATGTAAATAATTAACATTCATTAAATTATCTCGCGCACATTTACGTATAATGATATTAAAATTATGCCTCTCCGCGTTATTTATTGCGATATCAATATACAAGAGCCATGATCACACCAGAACCGCTTTTACTAAAATAGCTATTCGAATTGAAAAAATCATCAGAATACAATTTCGGGACACAGTTCTTATTAGGTTTCATCATTTGGCTAGATTTGACTCACTTTAGCATTTTGTAAAGTTTGAAACTGTTAGTGAAATCAATAATTATGCAGTTATCTTTCGAAAGAGGTATTTACAACTTATAGGTCACAATTTCCATACGAACTCTGGCCGACAAATTGCGATTACGCAGCTCATTAAATTCGGTACCTAAATTGACTCTACATGTTCATTATGCGGACAGCAAGGAATAGAACTCTCCCAATGACTTCTTGCATTCTTATAACTTGGCCTGAATATCTGCTTATAACATTCACACGGGACACGGGCGAATAACATTCACTTAGTATGCTCTACCTTATCATCGTTTACAATCTGATGACATAAAGAATTTGGGTAGTTGACAGAAATCCCTAAAAGAAAAAAAAACCCTCTAAAATCAAGTCATTGTAAGTTTGGAAAGCTATAAAAAGTTAGAAATAAGTTGGCAAATAAGTTACTTCATAGTTTCTTTTTCCATACAAAATCTATCTATGGGAGAGTCGCAATACTTTTAAAAATAAAGCAGTCTCAATAGTTTGTGGGATCAGTGAAATTACTCTTTATATCCAATTTATTTACAATTTTAGTCCTTTCGGGTTGGTTAAATATATGCTTAATTAACTTTAACCATCAAACCGTATCAATATTATGGGAAAATACCTGACCCGTGCACTGAGCCGGGATATCCTCTCTGCCCCAGCCAACTTTTTCATTACATCGTTTGCTTCGGTCCATTACGCCAGGAGAAGTGTTGATTGATGGCCAGAAATTGCAAATGATTTGTGCAATTGGCCGGTTAATCTATAGCCGGTGTAGTGTGCACTATGAGCGCGGTCTTGTCGTGCGCCCAAGTGCATTACCCGGCGCAAGGCAACCACGTTTCCGCCGACTCTTACGCAAACGACACGCTGCACGGTGCGCCGACCGCTCCACTGCACTCGACTCCATGGCACACTGCACCGCTGGATGAATTCGATGATATACGAATTGTTAGCAACACGACAATTCGTAGCGTTGCAATCCGTATAATCTATTGATTATCCGAACAGATATTACTAAGATATTTCAACATCATATTTTTTCAGCAATAATCATTCGTTACTATCTCGTTTGTTATACGTACTAAGTCGTACGCGTAAAGTGCATTGCATTGCTATAATTTTGTTCAATTAACGATCCTAGCTCGTAGCTGTCAATTTATACGAATTGAGCACGCTATTAGAAACACTCCAAAGATTTACAGTGCGTCTTAACTGACCATCTGCTGCTAGTTGTGCTTTGCTCAAGTAATAAGTTTCAAAATCAAAATTATCTTTATTTGTTTAGAGTACTAAGAAATCGTCAAAAGCTCTTAAGAGCGTTTACGCGAAGCGCGGCGTTTCAAGGGGCATCATTGGAAATGATTCGCGCGCGGCGTTTTTTAATAGTTTTCAAATGTTTATAGCAAAACAATAACAATGAATTAAATATCGTTTCAAAGTAAATATTTTAAAGAAGATGTTGTTTTATTATATTAAGCTATTTTTATGTTGAATAAAGGAAGAATATTGGTGAAGAAATCATTTTGATTTTTGGGTATTTCACGTTCTTTTAATTTGTGATTTCTTATTGTAAAATGCTTAAATCTAAAAAATTTCTGAGATAACTATTTGCCCAAGGATCTATGCTATAGGATATAAATGTTTGTTAAATCGTTTTCACAGTATTTTTATAAAAATTTCAGCTTGTAAACTGACGCTAAAGTGGAAATTTACAAAACCTGTGTGGACTTATCTTGATAGTATTCTTAAATACTAAACTAATCGCAATATTTTCTCAATTAACTATTTAGACGACGAAATTGCCTAACTATTTATGCCTATAACATATTTGTAGTATTACTGGTTAATCATTGTAACGAGTTGAAAAAGTACTGTTTTTGCGCCAAACGGCGTAAACGCTCTTAAGGAGCCTAAACATGTCTCATTCTTTTTTTGCCCTACCTTTTGTTTTATGAGACAACAATGAATGACGTAGACAAATTATCTTACTTATTGCCAAAACTTTTTATCAATGTTAGATTAATAATAAAGCTTCCCGGGCTATATTATGAGGACAGTTTTAAAGCCGTGTTCGAGCATTAGTTTAGTTACATTTCACACAGTTTATCAAGTAGAATCTGCCATAATGTGTGTATTCCTGGCTGTTTCAACAACAATAATGGACATTATCTCGTTACCGTTTCCAGCGGCGATGGAGGAGGAATCTAGCGAGCTACCGGGCACGGACGGTCTCGCGCCGAAGCAGCGGCACCAGGCGAAGCACCGCGAGCTGTTCCTCTCGAGGCACGTGGAGACGCTGCCGGCGACGCACATCCGCGGCAAGTGCACCGTCACGCTGCTCAACGAGACAGAGTCGCTGCTCAGCTATCTCAATAAGGATGTGAGTATGTACCGGACACGGAACAGAACAGTGGCGGACTAAGGGCGAGGGAGGGCCTATGCTGTAGGTAGATCTAGGGCTGTTCTGCATGTTAGTGTTAGTTCTAAATTAAACTGACAAAATGTTTTATGTGCTGAGTAGGCTGTACAGTAATTCAAGTGACAGCTACTTAGGATGTTTTTCACAAACAATGATCAAGCTGGCCCAGTTTTTGGAAACGGTCCTTTGGTGAAAGCTCTGATGACGTCACCTGCCAGTAATCACGCTGTCTATTTTGAAGAAATACAAATATTACTTTTTGTGCCAAAAATAATTGAAGTCAGTTATTAGAAACCAGTTAAACTACCTCATACCAAAGATACCGTATCCAAAAATATGGAATTTTATTAGCCCTTCTTCCCCTGAGTCCATCACTGTCATGATGAAATGAGTGTATGTCTTTTAAAATTTACGTCGCCACATAGACAAGCGACGATTTATTTTACTTTTTATGTCTCTTACTACTTACATTCATTCTCACTCATTCAAAGCCGTAATATTTTTAATGGTGCGAACATTATTACGAGCATTAGGTTTAGTAGTCAAGTGTTCAGTGCGTGGCTCAGATTTATGGTCTCTCGTAGCCTTAAGTGGCATTTCCGTTTTCAATGATAATTTTCGTCTTTAAACAAAGCAACCATCAAACGCGGTCATGATCCCCCTTACCCTCTGTGACTTATCACTTGCATTTCAAAATTCCAAACAGTCTAATTCAAGATAAATTAATTTATCTATCAGTTATAATTCTATACTGATTTATTGTTAATTTAATTTCTTTTAGCTAAATAACAGAAATATATTTTAATACACCTCTTTCTGTTTTGTTTCAGGACGCATTTTTTTATTGTTTAGTATTTGATCCTTCACAAAAGACTTTATTAGCAGATAAGGGAGAAATCAGAGTTGGAAGTAGATATCAGACTGAAGTAACTAATTTATTAAAAGAAGGTAAGACCTATTTATTGATACAACTATTGATTTGCTACTGTAGTGAAATTATTATTTCTAATTTATCACAATACAGAATAGTTCCTTGTAATAGGTAAATTCTTCATTATGATCATTCATTATTTTCTACAATAACCTACAACTGCTCTGTCGTATTGACCCATTAAGTTTCGTACATTTAATTTATTTTTCATTGTTTTTAACTATAAGATTTTAAATTATGCATGTAAGGGTTAAAGAAAAATAGCACATCAGTATTTTATTTCTTTACCTTTTTTTAGACGCAACAGCTTAATCTAGATATTAAAATCTTGGAGTTTGCATATTGGGGCACAACTTTTGTCTTCATCTTACAAACAAACAGTGTCTAGAGTTTAGCGAAATATTAGATGTGCCTTATTGCGCTACCACATCACAATGACGCAATTTAAAACGTTATTTTTCCAAAATTCTAGGCGAAGAGGACACACGCAACAACGAGGACCTAGAAACACTGGTCTGGACACCAGAACACGGGCTAACGGACCGGCAAATCGACCAGTTCCTGGTAGTGTCTCGCTCAGTGGGCACCTTCGCGCGTGCGCTCGACTGCTCCTCCAGCGTCAAGCAGCCCTCGCTGCACATGTCTGCCGCCGCCGCCAGCCGAGACATCACCCTCGTGAGTATACAAGACTATTCCCACCGCTGCAACTCTTGTGTAGCCAGGATCTTACAGGTTCAGAACCGCCAATAAAAACGCCAGCCGAGACATCACCCTCGTGAGTATACGTCGTTCCCACCGCTGCAACTCCTGTGTAGCCAGGATCTACAGCTTCAAGACCGCCAATAAAACGCCAGCCGAGACATCACCCTCGTGAGTATTCCCACCTTTCGTTCCCACCGCTGCAACTCCTTGTAGCCAGGATCTACAACTTCAGGACCGCCAATAAAAACGCCAGCCGAGACATCACCCTCGTGAGTATACAAGACTATTCCCACCGCTGCAACTCCTGTGTAGCCAGGATCTTACAACTTCAGGGCCGCCAATAAAATCGTCAGCCGATACATCACCCTCGTGAGTATACGCGATTCCCACCTCTCGTTCCCACCGCTGCAACTCCTGTGTAGGCAAGTTCTACAGCTTGACTGCCAATAAAAACCCAACCAGTGAAGGCCAAGTTCGTCCCAGGGAAAGTTGAACTGTCATTGGACCCGCAACTAAATTAATCAGAAGAGGAGGAATATCCTCGTGAATATCGAAGGACCACCCCACAGTGATGTAACTAACACTTACACACGTAACAATGAGGATTTAGGAACACTGGTCTAGACGCACGAGCGCGACCAGTTCCCGATTCAAGACTGAATCGCTTTGTATAGCACGGGACTATTCCCACCTCTCGTTCCCACCACTGCAACTCCTGTGTAGCCAGGATCTACAGCTTGACCGCCACAAAAACCCAACCAATGAAGGTCAAGTTTGTCCCGGGGGAAAGTTAAACTGTCATTGGACCCGCAACGAAATTAATCAGAAGAACATAGGAGGAGTTCGAAATTAAGGTTCGACTTCCCTCCATTGCAAAGCGGATGACAGGTGACAAACAAAGGTTTAAAACCTTTAAGAAAAAGATTATGCACCACGGACAATAAATTAAATTAAGGGGGCCTATCTTATGAGCAATTAGCAACTACCTGCCAATAATATTTTTCACAAAATCGCTTAAAAGCACGGAAATTTTTCCTTGTCGCGACAAGATCGGTGTAATAAATTGCGGAAACAGATGTATGTTGTATTGAATTAAGCATTATATCACGTTCATGTTTCCAAAGATCACACTCCCACAAGATATGATGGGCAGACTGCTCATGACTGACATCATCAGTGGAACACTCGCAAAAAGGAGACGGAACTAGTTTGAATTCGTGAAGTTTATGTTTAAAGTTGCCATGTCCCGTGAGGAACTGCGACGAGCAATGGTCGATTTCTAACCATCGCCTAGTTAGACGTTCGCGTACATTCGGGAAGAATTTATATAAGTGACGTCCTTTGACTGACGTATCCCATCTTTTTTGCCATTCATTAAGTAAATCTTCTTCAACGACTTCTCGGGAATCAAATAATCGACTTATTTTAGAACGATCGCGGCTATTTAAGAAATCAGAGGTTATATTTTCCCTTGATGCGAAGTACATAGCCGCACGCTTTTGTACCTCTAAGTCGACCGGCAGTACACCAGCCAGGACTGGCAGAGCCTCCGTGCTCACAGTTCTGTAAGCTTTGCAAAGAAAAATCAATGCAAGGCGTTGACTTTTGGAGTAGTTTCCGTCGAGCGGCTCCTATAGTAGCTCTGTCAGCCCAAACTGGTGCACCATAGCAAATGGAGCTTAAATAAGTGGCCGAATATATTACTCGGAGGATTTTAAACGTTAGACCCCACGTCGAGGTTGAAATGTGACTTAAGGCATAAAAGTTCTTTTTAGCTTTTTCACCGATCTGTTTAATGTGCTCGACAAAACTAAAGTTTTTCTCTAAAATTAGTCCGAGATAGCAAACAGATTCCCGTTTTTTAACAGTTATTTCATTGAATTTAATGCGAGGCAAAACTTTAAGATTACCTTTTAATAGAAGCTGATAAGTTTTGTGAGGGGCAAACTGCAAACGATTTCTGTCTCCCCATTGAAATATTAAATTCAAGCATGTATAGCAGCAAAGAGCGAAGTGTACAAAAGATCTAAGTGGTGATTGAACTGATTGACCATTTAACTGGTTGGAGGAACAATATCTCATCAGGCGGGTTGGGTCAAAGGCTACGCAGCGTGTTAAACAATGCTAATTTGAATTTGTTCGGTATAGCTAGCTAATAAAATATTTTTCTTTAAAGAAACTGGATATTGCAGCCATAAACAAGCACAAGCAGACCTAGACCACTGTTTTAAACACTTATATTTATAAACAAATGACCTCTCTCTGACTTGTTGGTAAGCTTTCACATAAAAAAAAAAGCTAAATATGCTTGTGTTACGAGTGGATTCTCACCACAATAGCCCGGTGGTGGGAATCGACTCCGCATTTCTCGGATAATGAGACCGCCAGTCCGACATCTTCACCGTTCAAAAGGAAAAAATAATCTCTATCATTAAACCTGCCTTCTTATTTCCAGTTCCACGCGATGGACACCCTGCACAAGTCGGGCTACAGCATAGAGACGGCGCTGTCGTCGCTGGTGCCCGCGTCAGGCCCCGTGCTGTGTCGCGACGAGATGGAGGAGTGGTCCGCGTCCGAGGCCAACCTCTTCGAGGAGGCGCTTGACAAGTACGGCAAGGACTTCGCGGACATTCGGCAGGACTTTGTGAGTATTTTTTAATCAGGAAAAGGCAAAGACAACGCCATAAAACCAAGTCTTCAGTTGTTTCAATAACAGTTCTCTTGATGATGTACCAACTGGGCGATGTGGAAGTCATTGGGGGAGGCCTATGTTCAGCAGTGGACGTCCTGTGGCTGAAATGACGATGATGATGTATTTAATGATGATCGATGAGTACTAGATGAAATATCCCCCTTTCCCTTGGGTCTCAATAAAGATGCATTTAACTGTATCCTCACACGCACCTCTTGTCCGAGCTTTAAGTGTGTTGCACTGTTCACCGTCACGAACATTAATTAATGATTTATAATCTGTTTGTGCAGTGCTTCCCTGTATTCGTTTATGGAGATGGCTGGCTAAAACAAAATTTGCTTCAATTTTTGTAATATAAAGGTCCACAAGTTGCAAAAAAAAATTAAATTTACCTATTTTTATGTATTGGCGACATAATTAAGGCTGAGTCGCACCACCTAACTTTAACCGTATAACAATAACTGGTGCGGTAAGTAAGATGGTGCAACCCAGCCTAACTCTTTTTTTACATAATGTTCCTCAAAATGTTTATTGTATAATCAATTAACATAATTTCCTTCTCACAGCTCCCTTGGAAAACGCTAAAGAACCTCGTGGAATACTACTACATGTGGAAGACGACGGACCGGTACGTGCAGCAGAAGCGCGTCAAGGCCGTCGAGGCCGAGTCCAAGCTGAAGCAGGTGTACATTCCCAACTAGTGAGTGTTTGTACCAACCACACCTACTGATCCGTTATACTATGTGTCTGTGTCGTCTTGTGCATAGTGCCTACCTCTAGCGCGAAATACTTTCGACTTCGAATCGTTCGTATTCGAATTGCCATCAAAAGATTTAGTATGCAAACTTAAACAGCGCACTGTGAACGTGACTTAAAATAAGAAATGGTAGCACGAAACCAATTTTGACAATCGAGATCGTCACGTTATCGAATTTTGTCGAATACGCAAACGATTCGAAGACTTTAAAGTTTTTCACGCTAGAGGTACGGAACAGACGACGGCGCATCTAACTCTTGTAGCTTATCTAGTTAAGAATAAGATAAATGCGATTTTGCTAGTGTAGTCTGATGCGCTGTCGACTCTACAATGCTGGTTTCACACTGTCAAAGAGGGGGAAGAAAATACAGATGTTACAGAAATCGAAGAGTTTTATTACCGCACTAATCGTAATACGCCTGCGATGCATAATCGAAAGATAAATGTGACGTCACTTACGGTCGAGTACCACGTACGCTATGCTTTGTGGCTTGTACCTGACATTTATTTGTATCTGACACTCTTTAGTGATAGTGTGAAGCTGGCTTAATAATTGTCGGTTGTTGTAGTTAGTTAGCTTCTTCATTCTTTGTCTTAGAAAAATGTGCTGTTGAAATGATAGTTAATTTATAATAGTATGTGGAAATTTGTTTCCAAGCAAAGACTAAAGAGTTGTCTCGTTAATTTTTGTCAAGTTCCCGTAATTTTTCCTTCTTTGAGAGCACTCTTTCTAGCGCAAACTAGTGTAGTGTATTTTTATTTTGCCCTGAGTAGACTAGGGTTCACGTCTGAAACATTTTACAAGATTAGTGTGTGACAACAACACGCATTATCTTCCGTCTAGTAGGCGTGTCCCAAAGTCTACCACTGTTTCTTTTGGTTTGCAATTGTAGTTGTTGTGTCTTTTATACATCGATCTCTGTGTAAAATTGTCTTACTTTGTAGCGTGCTAAAAACGTCGATGTACCTTTACTTGCAGCAACAAGCCTAACCAGGCGTTGATCACGAGCGGCAGCGGCGGCAAGCCCGGCGCCGTCCTCAACGGCGGAACCAACGGCACGCCCGCCGTCAGCGCCGCACAGCTTTGCGCCTCTTGCCAGGGTCAGTACACTTATTATATCTGTTACGGTCAAAGTGATAAATGTGAAAATTATGAATAATCGCCGGTTATTATGAATAAATACCGCATGATTTGGTAAATGTGATTAATATGAGGTCATTTATGTGTGTATAAAACTAAATAGGCGGCTTAGGGGTGGCCCAAGGGCCACCCCCGCCGCACCTTAACCTATTTTTCACTTCAAATCAAAACATTATGTTGTAGGCATCATGTAAAAGTAATATTATGCAAGAAACATTCCAAACTCATTATGCCAAATTATGTTAATATATGATATCAAAACGTTCAAAAGTTTGGCTGTACACGAACACGAACACAAGATGTTGTTCACTTTTATGAAATTTGTTAGTACTAAGGTTGAATTATTAAATAATCACTGTTAAATGTGATTAATTTATCACTTTTACCGCGACTCTCGGGAATTATTCATAATAACCGGTTATTATTCATAATTTTCAATTTATCACATTAACCGTAACATATCCATAAAGCCTTCCCAACTCGTCTGGGCAGCGTGAGGAGCGTATGCCAAATCCTCAATTTACCACGGTTTCATCACCATCATCGTAGGACGTCCACGGCTGAACATAGGCCTCCCCCAATGATTTACATATTAACCAGTTGGTAGCGGCCTGCGTCCAGCGCCTTCCTGCTACCTTTTTATTGTAGTCGGTCCACCTTGTGACGACCCACGCTGCGTTTTCCGGTACGCGGCCTCCACTCCAGAACCTTACTGCCCTATCGGTCGTCAGTCTGCGTACTATGTGCCCTGCCCATTGCCACGAAATGCAATGGACTAAATACTGCAGCCAAGTCTAAAATGCAGCAAACGTTGTCGACAGCAGGAATTATTTTACAGCCGTTGAAAAGATAAACTGCTGTGGGTGCTTTCCTGCACTGAAGTCGTTCGTAATGCTCTTTCGCATTTGTAAGCGTATTTAGAGACAACCCTTGTGAACGCAAAAGCTAAAATCTCATACTCGAATCCCCTTTTTCAGATAATAATGATTGCGGAACATAAATTAATGTAGCTTTATTATTTTTGTAGTGACAAGTTCAACCCAGTGGTACGCGTGGGGACCAGAGCATTTACAATACAGATTGTGCGGCTCGTGCTGGCAGTACTGGAAGAAATATGGAGGCCTCAAGGTAAAAAACGTATGTCTTTTCATATATTTTATTATTTCATAAGATGAAACGCCCATGTCAATACATGGTTAGTGGAAAATGTTCTTATATTGCACTAGGTAAATTATTTGACTCACATTCATATCATAAAATTATCGTGAATTAGACCTGAAAAATGAAATAGTTTAAAATATGTGTACTAATAATATTATAAAGCTGAAGAGTTTGTTTTTTGTTTGTTTGTTTACTTGAACGCGCTAATCTCAGGAACTGCCGATCCGATTTGAAAAATTATTTCAGTGTTAAATAGAACCTTTATCGAGGAAGGCTATAGCCACTAAATTTTTATCACCGAAAAAAAAATTCTGGGTAATGAGTTATTGATACTGATCCCATTTATGCAAAAAATTTTTAATAAAGTTACTCAAAATTTCCTCCTAAAATTGGTAATTTATGGACACACGCGTCGCTAGCACTATTTACGTGCGATAATGTAACATTTATTAGAACTCATAATTACTTGAAATGTTGCATTAAAATGGTCTAAATTAGCTAAGTAAGTAATAATAACACTGGAAGAGCGTGGTCGAGGCGTGAGCGAGACAGACATATTGGTGGGACAATGTGCGAGCGCGTACGACTACTCGGAGTGCCCCAGCTGTGACGCGTAAAATACGAAACAATTTAATAACATTATGAAAAAAAATATNTATGTTGCTGATCAACATTCAAAAGTGTTAGATCGTGTATTCTTCTACCCGAACAGAGCAATAGTAATATAGCAGTATGCCTAGAAGTTTCAAAAACGTTATTACAATCAATTGAACTATTTGCTAAATACAATAGAAGATCATCAATATTCCATACATTTGGTTTTCTTGCTACCGGTTGTTTGAGAGCAATTGATTTTAATATGTGTTTAATCAAAGGGTGATTACTAATTTTACCTGCGTCATTAGCATTGCATAAAGTTGATATCGGTCATTCTCACGATTAGGCGTTCTCAGCCTAATTACCATATCATTTTTGAAATTTGGCTTAATTGACTTAAACGCATTTAAATATGAAACACATGAAAAGTACGAATTTAACAATTGTTAAGGCGTCAAATTATTCCAAGCGGTTTTCGCGTAAATGAGACCCAAAAATTTTATGGTCACGGTAATTAGATAAGGCTAATACTTAATCTAACGGCAATTAGAAAAAATATGTAAAATAGCAAGAAAACAATATCTTGCATTGATTTTGTATATAAATATTATAGCGTCATAAAAAACGCTGTAGGTACACTTAATAACCCTTTGAAAAAAGGAAAACACTCATTTCTATTATTTATTGTATCAAGATATTTTCAGTATACTGCAATAATCGAGGCTATAACAGGAACACTTAGTTTCGGCCAGAAGGGGCTACGTGTCACATTTTTTCATCAGAATCTTAATCATCATTTATTTGATTTAATGTGGTACAAACGATTTAACGTACAGATAATGGATCAGGAGATCTCACAAATTTGATTTTTCGGATATGCATATATCGAAAAATTAATTAATGATTTAAGTGATTTTTCCTCTTATTAATCTATCTGCGATCAGCCATCACCCATTATCAGATTAAATTGAATTTGTAATCATGACAGTTCCAGCTCAGCATATCCCATGAGTTGTCACCTCTATTCTTTTACAATAAGTTTTCAGATTGATGCTATTTGCTTTCTCCTGAGCTTAAATGCAGAATTCTTAGAATTTAGAACGGATGCAGCAAATAGATTGCATGAAGGTCTAGTCTTTGGTTGTAAGCTTTACAGGATTTTCCACACCCTCTTTGACGTTTGGTATCACTTCAGTGGACTTTGTAAACCAACCAAGGTGCACAGCTCAAGATTTTTAAAACTTTATTTTGAAAACGTTAAAGTATTTCTACATTTGCGAGGCTAATTCGATGCCATGTCTACATGGGTTTTAAGATCCATTTGTATTAGTTTGTTCTCCAAGCTTCTTCTGCNAATTGAGCATGACCAGATCCACCGGCAAAATTACCCTGCGAGGGTATAAAACGATCCACCAATCCCTGCGAGGGATGGGAAGCGGTCCTGTTTATTTCAGCTACTGCCTGCGAGGCAGAGGCATTAGGCCTATGAAGTGGCAAGAAAGCTTTTTTCACACCGCCGGCTTTTTCAAGCGTAGCGGTTAATAAGTCAGCATTAAAAAGATGTTCATAAGATGGTGAAATCTTTTTTACTGCTGTTTTCACTAATGAATCCTTTATATGGTTAGTAATACCATCCCTACGCATTTGGATAATTTCTGCCCTATGACCACAAATCAACTGTAAAAGGTCTGAAGAAACTTTTGTAAAATCGCCCTTTTGGAATAAATCATTAACTTTATTCTTAATTAAATCGTAATTTAAATTTTCTGGAGAATGAAGCCAAGTTAACAAATCTTTTACAGCATTTTGTAAACATTCCCTTTGTTTTATAAGACAGTAAGACATAGCAGCATATGCTTTTTCATGATGTGCTAGATTACGTAATTTATCGTAACTTTTAATTTCATCGTTTGCTTCTAGCTCAACAAACCCCGGGGCTCTAACGTAATTCTTTTGAGTATCTGCATACCGCACTTCGCACCATTCTTTTGTATTGAAATGTTGAACATTGTTAAGAATATTAAGATAAACATCATCAGACTTTGGAATTGTCGGGTCTTTTAATTTGGTTTCAATATCAAATGAAAATTCATTAGTATCTTTGGAGGTAGACGCAATATTTTCAACGGGATTTATATTTTCACTTAATT